TTGAGCCACTTTTTGAAATCTTCTGTTTAGCTCTTTCATTTCATCATTTCTTTCATTTGCTTTAGCTAATTGTGGTTCAAGAGCAAGTTTCAAAGTCTCTTCTGATACCAATTTTGGACTTTATTTTCTTTCCTGTCTTTTCAATGACCTTTTGCTTTCTTCATGTCATTCCACAACTTGTCTTCAGTCATTGGTATGCAATGCATCAAATCTGTTCTTCATATGGGCTCTAAATTTAGTTAGAAAGCCAAAAGGGAAGAACACACTCAACATTTCTCAAGCTGAAAGAACTGAGTAAGAAATTCAAGCCTCAAGTTGCAAAATTGGTGGATTCTGTGGGCAAAATATTGGATGATGCAGGAAGCATCAAAAGAAGATGGAATGAATACACAAGAGTCACTGACCCAAAAAGAATTAGTCAGTTTTCAGCTATTTTCAGGAGGTAGCACAAGAACCAATGGTATTGAAGGAAGAAATCCAAGCTGCACTGAAGGAATTGATGAAAAAGAAGGCTTCAGGAATTGATGAAATACCCATTGACATGTTTTAGCAAATGGATACAGTACTGGGGGCATTCACGCGTTTATGCCAAGAAATTTGGAAGACAGCAGCCTGGCCAACTGGAAGAGATACATATTTGTACCTGTTGCAAAGAAAGATAACCCAACAGAATGTGGAAGTTATTGAACAGTATCATTACTATCACATGTAAGTAAAATTTTGCTGAAGGTAATTCAAAAATGGTTGCAGCAGTATATTGACAGGAAACTGCCAGCATTTCAAGCTGGATTCAAGAGAATGTGGGGAATAAGGGATATCATTGCTGATGTTAGATGAATCATGGCTGAAAGCAAAGAATACCAGAAAGATGTTTACTTGTGTTTTACTGACTATGCAAAAGCATTCGATTGTGTGGATTGTAAAACATTATAGATAGCATTGCAAAGAATGAGAATTCCAGAACACTTGATTGTGCTCACGAGGAACCGGTACATAGACCAAGAGGCTGTCGTTTGAAAGAACAAGGGTATACTGCAGGGTTTAAAATTAGAAAAGATGTGTGTCAGGGTTGTATCCTTTTACAAGGCTTATTGAATCTCTATGCTGAGCAAATAATCCAGGAAGCTGCACTATATGAAGAGGAGTGTGGCATCAGGATTGGAGGAAGACTCATTAACAATCTGTAATACGCAGATGGACACAATTTTGCTTGCTAAAAGTGAAGATGACTTGAAGCATTCACTGATGAAGATCAAAGATGCATCCTTCAGTATGGGTTACACTTCAACATAAAAATCCTCACAGCTGGACCAGTAAGCAACATCATGGTAAAAGTAAAAAAAAAAAATTGAAGTTATCAGGGATTTCATTTTACTTGGATCCATAGTCAATGCCCATGGAAGGAGCAGTGAAGAAATCAGATGACATACTGCATTGGGCAAATCTGCTGCAAAAAATTTAAGGTATTAAAGAATAAAGATCTCACTTTGAAGACTAAGGTGTACCTAACCCAAGCCATGGTATTTTCAATTGCCTCATATGCATGTGAAAGCTGGACATTGAATAAGGAAGACTGTAGAAGAGTTGATGCCTTTGAATTGTGTTGGCGAAGAATAGTGAAAACGCCGTGGACTGCCAGAAGAACAAACAAATTTGGAATGCTCCTTTGATGCGAGAATGACCAGACTTCACCTCACCCATTTTGGTCACGTTATCAGAAGGGACCAGTCCCTGGAGAAGTCTGTCATGCTTGGTAAAGTACAGCATCAGCAAGAAAGGGGAGGACCCTCAATAAAATGGATTGACACAGTGGCTGCCGTAATGGTTTGAAGCATAGCAGGAATTTTGGGAATGGCACAGGATTGGGCAGTTTTTTCATCTGTTCTGCTGCTATGAATCTTACGTGACTCCGTGGCACCGTAAAAACAATACCTATGTTTGTATTTCCGTTTGGGAATATGTTTTCTTTGATAATAGGCAGTACCGTCTTGTGTCATATAATGTCCATTTGGACAACATCTAACAACATACACATCTGTGGTCTCAACCTTTATGAAGCCTATTATGTTAAAAATTTGAGGTACATACAATGGTTCGTAATAACAAACACTATTTTGTGATGTGATCAAAACATTATTACTGTGTTAAGAATGTTTTAATGTATCAGTGTTCTGGTTACCTAGTGCCACTCTGAGAAGAATATACCACAAATGGGAAGGCCTTAACAAACAGGAGTTCATTCTCTTACAGTTTGGAGGCTTTAAGTCCAAGTTCAAAGTGCCAAGCTCTAAGAGGTAGGTGAAAGCCCCTTGACCTTGGGCTTCAGCTCTGCCTCTTGCTCCTGGCCCGCTGAAGCTAGAGGCATCTCTTCACTGGCTGCTGAGGCTGACAGGCAAGTGCAAGGTCAACAAATAAAATGGCACAGTCCTGATTTACCAAACCACACAGCAGGCCATTAATTGAAGTCCATTGTAAGTTCCAAGGTCAGCAGAACATGGCAGGCTGCTGAACAACAACACGGCTATATGCAGAGTCCAAGCGTGCCACAAGCCAGAGACCATTCCCCAAGGCTTCTCCTTATGTAGAGGAAGCAGACCACATTCCCTAAGGCAGATGCTCACCTGCTTGTGGTAGATCCGATCGTGGAGTTGATCGCCAGTCTCATCATGGGGAATAACTACCACCAGCTGCCCAGCCACTCAACCAGGCCCAGCCAGGCTGACACATGAACATAATCACCACACTCAGGAAATGTTTCTTTTAATGTTTTTGATTCTTAGAAAGGTATACTAATGACAAACATTTGACTGACGTTAGATAATGAACTGTACCTAACTGTTCTGACTTAGGTACAAATTCAATTAAAAGATGGATTTAGGGACTTAGCTTGTTCATAATCTGAGGGCTGTCTTTATATAGCATGGTGTTTGTACACTATCCAAATCTCATAACATACTAATTCACAGATTGTATTGTGGACATTAAGTGAGAAATGACTGTATCAATGTAGGGTGTGTTTTAAGTCAAACTCTCTTGAGATAGAAAAGAGATTACGCAAGCAAGTGAGCAAGCAGAGATGGGGGAAGAGAGATGCCATGTCACATGGCCACATGGAAATCACCCAGCAGCAGAAGCTAAAAGAGGCAAAGACCTTCCTCCAGGGCCCACAGAGAGAGAAAGCCTCCCCTAGAGCTTGCATCCTGAATTCGGACTTTCTAGCCTCCTAACTGTGAGAATGTTGATTTGTTTGTTAAAGCCATCTGCTTGTGGTACTTGTAGTGTAGCAGGATTGGGTAACTAAGACACATAGCATGCATGAAAAATTGGAGGAAAAGTGGTTATGTGTTAATGTGGCTGTAATGTTTATTTTAGTGCCTCCTGCTTTGATACACATAGAGTGGTCCTCTCTGATTTGAGGTACTACTTGAAACATCTTGTATTTCATTTCTGACTGATCACTTGGTAGAAACTGTAATTAACGATGTCAGTTGAGTGTCGGGAAACCCCCATAGACCCTCTTATTCTTGCAACTCAGACTTCACTGGAAAAGTGTTAATGGCAACACTTGAAATTTCCAATTATTTCATCACCTTAACTACTATATTTTTGAGAATGCCCTATGGGTTAATTTGCATGTTTAATGCTCTTATACAGTATTTTTATTATCTACTTTGAACAGTTACAGTTTTTTTAGTAAGTGTCATGTCCAACAGTTGTGTGCTTCATCAAATTGTGCTTTTTTCAGCTGTTCAGAATTGGTGTGTTCTTACTTTTTTGGCTCTTGGACAATGGCAGAATAAAGGTGTGCTACACAATTTTTCATTCCTTAGAATTTTCAGAAGTTTATTTTTAATGGGAGTTTTTTGTTTGGTTTGTTTTTTAAATAAAGAATATTAACATTCTTATATGGACTTTTCTATTTAGTGACTTGGAAGACTTCTTAGCCTTGGAATAAGCATGTTAAACATGTGAGATAATATCTAATTGAATTCCCCACTGAGAAGTTTATTTGTGACTTCTTGTTAGGCTGATCGCTTGTTCTGTTTGTTAACAAATGTGAATACTTGTAATGTGCAGGGTCGTTTGTTGTGGGCCACTTGAATTAAAATTACTATCACCATACATTAACAGATTCCTAGTTCAGGGACAGAATTTTATTCTTTCCGTTTGGTTAAATTCTCAAATATGATCTTAGTGTGTTTGGGAGTTGTGAGTGTGACAGGAATTACATATAAAGAGAAAAATAAGCTGTGTTTAAACTGGTCATAATTCAGATGAAGTGATCGTTTTTATATTCAGGCAGTTTAGTTATGTTATTGTTTTACAGTACGGTGAAATGACCGATTAAATTTTATGCAGAAGCAAAATGGAAGCCTTGTCAAAGTATGGGTTAGTTGAAAGATAATTTATTTGCTATTCATCCTGGAAAATTTTATGATATAACTTGATAATCTTTGCAGATTGATCAAATTAGAGAACTTTAGGCAAGTGGAATAGCATAAGTAAGAATTAAAATTATTCATGCCTTTTTGTTTTCTTAAATTAATTACCAACAGTGTGTCAGAAAGATAAATTGGTTGACTTCATGTCTTTTAGAGAACGCAAGGTCATAAAACAGCTCACTTTCCAAATTCATCTATTCTTTCTTTCAGTGGGTGCAGGCACTGTTCATTAAGATGAAATTTGGTGAGACAGACATCTAGTTTATGAGTTTTTCTGCGTAGGTGATAAGATCACAGCAGGACTGGTACATTTTTGGTCTTAATGGCTAGAAGTACACCTTATAGCTCATATAGAGTGGTTCTTAAGAGTTTATTGGGATTCAGAAAAGATGGTGACATCAGAGGCTGTACAGTAATAGCAATGGTTTCCACATCTAAATTCCGGTGCTATGAATTTTATTTTAAGAGCTTGGCTAGGGCATTTTAAAATTAAATGTGTTGAAACATGACATTTTGAGAGAGAAGCGTATTAGTATCTTTTTCTATCCTTTTTTCTAGTTGGAAAATGGATACACTTTATTCGACTATGATGTTGGACTGAATGATATAATTCAGCTACTCGTTCGCCCAGACCCCGATCTTCCTAGCACATCTAAACAGACTGATGCACAGGTCAAACCCTGTTCTAATAGTCCTCCCAAAGCAAAGAAAACCCCGAGGGTGGGACCTTCCAGTCAGCCGTCTACATCAGCTCATGCGTTTCTTATTGATCCTGGCATTGGACTATATAAGGTATGTGATCTTCAGATTTCTTGTTAGTTGTGAGAATACAGATGTCTGTTTTCTTTAGGATGTTGTAACTAAGTGTCGACTGCCATTTGAAAGTAAATATTGGTCTGTTAAATGTTTCAACATTTAAAAGTAATGTTTAAAAAATTACAGTGGAAAATATTACATAAATGTATAAAATGTATATGTACAGTTTAAAGAAAAATAATAAAGCAAACACCTGTGTAATTCCACCAAGGTTAAGAAGTTAGAATGATGCCAGTACCTTTTTAAAGCTTCCTGTGTGCCCCTACCAGATCACATCTCTCTCTCTCTCCCTAAGAGGTAAACTACTTATTCTGACTTTTATGATCATTTTCTTATTTTTCTTTAGTTTTGCTATTTATGGTTGTGTCTCTAAAAATACGTTGTTTAGTTTTACCTATATTTGAATCATATAAGGAATTACTTTTTTTCACAATTTTAAGTGATTATCTGGTGCATAGAGCTCTTGTTTTATTTCTTCTAACTATTACAGTATTCTATTAACATACCACAAAATATGTATCTTATCCCTGATTATAGCTCTTTGGGCAGTTGCCAGCTTTCACCTATTTTAAACAGTACTGTCTTAAACGTTCTTGGATGCATGTATCTTAGTGCATGTGTTCAAGGATTTCTTTAGGTTTTCTGTTTAGGTATAAAAGCACTAGTTGTTCACTCTTTGGATACTCCAAACTGCTATTTTGTTCCATTGGTCTATTTATCTATCCCTTGCTCATACTGTTTAAATATTGTAGTCTCGTAGACTATTTTGATATCTCCCTTTCTTCCAATTCCCAAATTTTGTTCTTTTCAAGAGTGTTTTGATTTTTTGGTTTTTAACACCTATATATACAAATTTTAGATTTAGCTGTCAAATCTTTACAAATAAATAATCTGGGACTTTGATGGGGATTGGATCTGTAGGTCAGCTTGGAAAATTGACATCTTTGCAATGTTGAGTCTTTTAATTTGTGAACATGATGGATTTTCCCACTAAGATCTTTGGCATGTTTCAGTTAGCTTTAACTTTTGTCTTAACTATCTTGTTTATTTCTAGTAGCTTTGATTTTTGATGCTATTGTAAATGGTTATCTCTTAAAATTGCAATTTGTTTGCAGATAAATAGAAATGCAATTGATTTATTGACGTTGTATCAGCAACTTATTTCAAACTATTTTAATATATTAGAAATAATTTATAACAATTTTGTTTAATTCATTCCAATTCTTCTGTTTCTTCATTTTTTTTTTGTCTTGCATAGTGTTGTATAGAAGTGGTGCTAGTGGGTACGTTCTTCTTTTGCTTCTGATCTCAAAGGGAATGCCTTCTGTGTTTATCACCATTCAGTGATGTTTGGAAAGTAGGTTTTTTTTTTTTTTTTTTTTAATATCTTGGGATAAATTGTGACCTAGACTGTTTTCCAAAGTACTTTCAAGGCTAAAACGTAAAATTAGTTTATAAAATGAATTATTTAAGAAAATGAAAATAAAGATAAATATGAATCTGTAGAAAAAATACAAACCTATCTGTATATAAGGAAGGCATCAAGAAAGCTAGCAAAAAGCTTTACCTTCACAATAGCACCAAGCCTGGGTGATGTCACTGGTAGATTATTTTGCACCAGTAAGGAATAGATCATTACAATGTTATGTAAATGACCCACAGCATAAAGAAAGAAGGAGAAGTTGCCACTGCTTTTGTAAATTTGGTATAACACTGATACTAAAACATGAGAAGAATACCAGTACCACTGACATATTGATGTAAAACCTAAGTTATATTTAGCAAATAGAATTATGAGTATATATTTAAAGAACCTAATACCTTCACCAAATATGGTTTGTCAGGAAGTGGGGGTGGGTTGTTTTCAATAGAATTCTTTTTATTAACAAACCAAAGGAAAATTTGAATCCATTCCTGATTTTAAAAAAAACAATCCTTGATAACAAGAACAATTGGAATGGATGAATATTTTAAACAACAGCTAGCATCATGCTTGTTGTTGTTGTTATGTGCCATCAAGTCGGACCCAACGCATAGCGACCCCTCCTTGGGTTTCTGAGCCAGTATCACTGTGGAAGTAGATTGCCCGATCTTCCTTCTGAGGAGTGGCTGGTGGGTTTGAACTGCCAGCCTTCTGGTGCTTAATGATCGGGAAAAGCCAGAAGCATCTCCATTAAAGAGAGGAGACAGACAAGGAAGCTTGTTAATGCTGCTGTTATTTAATATTTTCCAAGAGATCCTAGATAATGCAATTAGGAAGAAGAACAAAATAAACTGGGAGTATTAGAAAAGGAAAAGTTATCACTTATAAATACCTGGAAAAGTTTTAAGATGGCCAATTTCAAAGTTAATTAATATTGGAATACCAATAGTTGTCTTTGCTACAATCAGAAAAGAAAGTAAAAGAGAAAGAGTTTTGCAATAACAAAGGTAAAATCTAAGTGTAAACATTTGTAATAGGCACTGTGTGCAGTTGAATTGATTCCAATTCATAGAAATCCTATAAAGGTAGAGTAGAACTGCCCTATAGAGTTTCCTAGGCTATAATCTCAATGGCAGCAGAATTCCATGTCTTCTGATGATCCTCTGGTGGGTTCCAACTACTGACCTTTTGGTTAGCAGTCAGACAATTAACCATTGTACCACCAGAGCTCGTGATCAGCATAAGGCATAAAACAGTCCTCTATGTAGAGCTCACAATTCATATAAAATTATCAGTACTGAAAGCCAGTTTGCCATTGTTGCCAGTCTCACTCATTAATTTCATCACTTCTTCAGATACTTCTTATGTTGTTACTTTTTTACAGTTACTTTATGAAGAACTTTTTTTTTTTTTTTTTACTTTTACTGTGGTCAAAATACACAATCCTCCCCCCTCCCCCAATCCCTGGTAACCAACAAAGTAAGTTCCCTTCCATGTATAAAACTTTCCTTGACTTTTTACAATAGTGGACTAATAAAATACTTGTCCTTCTATGACTGACTTATTTCACTCAGCATAATGTCCTCCAAATTCATTCATGTTACACAGTGTTTTGCAGATTCTACTTTATTCTTTAGAGTTGCATGGCATTCCACTGTTACCCATTCCTCCCCTGATGGACAGTTAGGCTGTTTCCATCTCTTTGCTATTATGAATAGTGTTATGGTGAACATGGGTGTGCATATATCTATTAATGTCCTGGCTCTTACTTCTTTAGGATATGGACCTAGTAGTGGGATTGCTGGATTAAATGGTATTTGTATTTCCAACTTTTCAAGGAATCACCCTACCATTTTCTATAGTGGTTGTATCGTTTTATAGTCCCACCAGTATTTGTATGAGAGCCATAATCTCTACACATCTTGACCAGCATTTATTATTTTCTGTCTTGTTGAACTTTGCTATTAATGCTGGGGTGAGATGTTATCTCACTGTTTTGATTTGCATCTCTGTAATGGGTAATGATTGTGAACATTTCTGCATGTGTTTGTTGGCTGCCTGAGTATCTTCTTTGGTGAAGTGTCTGTAAATGCCTTCTGCCCATTTTTGTATTGGATGGTTTGTCTTTTAATGTTGAGGTGTTGAAATTTTCTATAAATTTTGGAGAGAAGTCCTTTGACAGATATGTTGTGGCTGAATATTTTTTCCCAATCTTTAGGTTCTCTTTTGGAGAAGTCTTTTGGAGCACATAGGAATTTAATTTTTAGAAGGTCCCATTCATCTAGCTTATCTTCTGCTGTTTGTGCATTTTGAGTTATGCTTGATAATCTATTTATATCATGAATTAGGGTCCTTAGGTTTGGCCCTATGCAAAAACGGCAAGGAGGCCACATGTTCTGACCTCCTCTAATCTCACAAGAGGAAGACAGGATTACCAGCAGTAACCCAAGGCCTATTACTGCAAAGCCAAACATGCTGCCTCCCTCCAGCCCTTTCACCAACCCTTCCTCCCAAAGCACCCACCACCTCTC